GCGAGCCACCAGCCTGGGTACAGAGGGGATGGCAAAGGGCTGGGGAGGGGGGAGGAGATCCAGCAGTGAGAGTCCTTGCAAAACTCCTCTGTGTCACTGCTTTTCTCCTTTCCTCCCCCTCCCAGCTCCCTCTCCCCTCTCTCCCCTTTCCCTTCTCCGCTCTCCAGCCTCTTCCCTCTATTTCCCATTGCACCCAGGAAGGCTCCCCGGGATGGCTCTGAGCTGGAGCCAGCCCCTGAGGCAGTGTCACAGCAACGTCCCCCATCTACCCCTGCAGGGAAGGTGAACGTCACTGTCACTGCCAAGGCCCTGCACTCCAAGAAGCTCTGCGGCACCGAGATGCCCGTGGTGCCAGCCCAGGGGCACGTGGACACCGAGACAAAACTCCTGATGGTGCAGGTGAGCTTCCACCATCCTCTCGCCAGGAGCAGAGCTGCACCCAAAGCGATCATCCCTGGAGTGGAGCAGAGCATCTCCTCATCCCTCGGCCAGGCTGGACGGAGCCTGTGGGTGCTACAAGGTGCAGGGACAGCACCAGCACCCACAGCAAGGGGAGAGTCTGTGTCCCTGCACCATCAGTGGGATGGTGCCTTCCCTTCCCTTCCCTTTTAGGGTGAGATTGGTAGATTTGAGGCCGCTGGTTGTGTGATGTTCAGTTTGCTCTCCTCATCACACTATGCACAGAGATGCTCCAAGGACAGCCTGGCTTGGCCTGGGTGGCCCTGAGCTCTCCTGGCCCATCAGGGCCAATGGACTGCTGGTGGGGATGGGGTCCAGGCAGGGTTCTGGGACAGAAAAGGGTGGACTGACTCTGATCCTGCTCTCATACGTGCTGTGTTCTTGGTTTTAAAGCCTCCAAAACTGATGTGAAGGGAAATTGCAGCAGCCTGGCTGTTCTTCTGCTCCGGACACCATTGCACCCCGCCAGACATCCACGGTCTCGAGGGCTGGCAGCCTTTTCCCATCCCTTCATCCCCTTCGTCTGACCTGGGAGGACCCTGCAGCAGCACGGGTGAGACAAGGACTATGAAACCCAGCCCTGCTGCCCAGCAGCCCTGCCATCCTGTGCGGGTCAGGGGCTGCCCGGGGAGCAGCCGCTCTGCTGCCCACCACAGTCGCGGTTCCCCCTGAGCGGATGCCAGTGCGATCCCTCGGAGAGGGGACCGGGGCAGGTGAGCTGACCCCAGGCTGACAAAAGGGATCAGTACAAGCCTGATGGCTGGGCATGGAGAGGATGCTCAGAGCTGTCCTGAGCACAGCCCTGCCCCCCCGCTCAGCCAGGCTGAAAAATAAAGAAAAATGCAAGTGGGATAAGGGAATTGGAAGTGGCAAAATGTTTTTCTTGCAATAAAGCTTCCTTTCTTCAGGCTCTTTCCCACCATCCTTGACTAAAGCCAGCCTTGTGTTCCAAAACACTTTGTGTTAGGGGCTCAGCACTCCTGTCCCCCTTAATGATGTGTCAGAGGGGCTCTGCCTTCACTTTGCTTTGCTGAATAAAAAACTGAGACCAAACCAGAGAGAGCATTCATCGCACGGGCACCAAGGCAGCAGAAGAAACAGCACAACGTGGGGTCAGGGGTGCATGGTTCGGGGGGGCTGAGGGACGACACATTGCAGCTCCTGCTCCGAAGCCACCAGCAGCACCGAATGCCAAATCCTCTGTGCAGTATTTCCCCTGGGCAGCCCTGCAGGCACCGATCGGAGAGGCAGAGGCTCGCCCCGCTCCCACATCGATCTCCCCTTGGCCACACTGCTCGTGGCCCCCACTGCATCCTGCCCCGTGCTCCGAAGGGCTCGGCGTGCCGATGGCCCCAAGGTCCCTGTCATATTGAACCACCCCCAGGGTGCACAGTGGGACACTGACCCATGCCCACATCCTGGGCCAGCAGGATGGGCTTGGGGCCACTTTGTGTCCGTGGGGGTGGCAGGGACCAGCCTCCTCTGGACGCTGACACTGTGTGGGGCTGCTCTCCAGGAGCAGGGGGGTGAGAACAGGGCTGTATCCAGCAATACTCGAGCAGGGCAGGCGTGAGGACAGCAACCATGGTTGTCCAAGAGCCCACGGGAAAGGGTTCAGCCCCATCTGTGGCTTCCTGCAGCTCTGCCTCCGCCTCTCCCCACGTCCCCAAAGGGAAGGGAACTGCAAAACCCCGGAGCAGGGGATGCACTCAGGACACCGTGCGGCTGTCATGGAGCTGCCTCAACTTTCCTAAATTCCCACCAGGACAGAAAAAGGCAGCTCTCAGCCCATGCCCTGGCTGGTGTCTGGCTCCCAGGTGCGGTGCACAGAGAGCGGGTGGCACTGGCATGACAGCCCAGTGCTGTCCTGCTCCTGTATCCATAACCAATTTGATTACATTGGAGGAAACTGGGCAGAAAGACAGCCTGAGACGTGCAATCAGCCCAAATAGCTACTGTTTGGCTAAATTTGAAATACCTGGAAACAAGCCTTTCTGAGAAATTGCTGCCAACTCACAGACTGTTCTCATGATGTGCTGCCTACTTTCATCTGGGGAACTCGTTCCCACTCCCTCCTGCCATCATTTCCCAGCAAAACAGTGTGTAGGTGGGTCCCACCCCCTGGTTTTGAACCTCTATAGCTTATGGGAACCTTTCCTCAAATTGCAAAAATCCGTCAGAGCCTTGAACCCAGGAGGCTGTGGGCAGATGGTAAACATTGCCTTGGCTATATCTGCAGGTCCATGCTGGATCCTTCTGCTAACACTTGTTTGCTCACTGGGTGGAAAGCAAAGATCTCATTCCAGCGCCTGCAGCAGAGCAGACGCAGGTCTACAGCAATCCAATACCTGGAGAAGGAGGCTGTGGCTGTCCCTGACGTCCACTTGCAGCTGGAGACATGAGGTCCCCAACTGCCCTGCCCATCCTCCTGCTCCTCATCCTGCACCTCACAGATGGGGTATCTGCAGCGCTGTAAGCCCTCTCTGTGTCTGTCTGTCCGTGACTGGTGGGGGGGGCATTTAGTCTTGGCTCTTTGGCAGTATGCAGTGGGAGATAATCCTTCCCGTGCATGTGATTGTTGGCCAGGGTGGAAATGCTTGGGGTGGTGGGTTGTCCCTGCCCATGAGCATTGAGGACTTGGCACCCAGGGGATGCTGGGGCTGGTGCCTCTGGGGTGGTTTATTGTAGGTCCTGCTTCAATTGCAGCCGATGTGTGAGTAGAGCCTCTGCTGAGCCAAGAAGTCAAGGGGAGCCCAGAAGCAGAGCGGGGAGGCTGGGGAAGGTGGCCCTGCACCCCAGCACAAGTTTCCGTGTGCCCAGGAGATCTTCAAGACCTCTGTGGGGTCTGTCTCAGGATGTGCCTCATCCTGATGCCTCTCATGTCAGCACTTCTCCTTACCAGGAGTTACGTGGTCATATCCCCAGCTGTGTTCTACCACCCCCACACAGCAGTGCTGTGGGTCCATCTCAGCGGCCTCCAGGAGCCCGTCCAGGTGACCATTGAGCTGCAGAGAGCAGATGGGACCCATAACATCACCCTGCTGGAGAGGAAGGTCCAGGAGCCTCACCTTTACCTGAACATCACCTTCCCCGTGAGTGTCACCCCACGCATGGCCATAAGTGTGGAGGTGGATGCCCTGGAACACCCTGCTGTCTCCAGGCAGAGCCACTTCCACCTGTTCCTGCGAGCATGGGGCTGTGTTCCCCACCCTGCTGCACAGCCCTAAGCCTCTGCAGCTGGAGGAGGATGGGAGCAGGTGCTCCATCTTTAGGTAGGGTCTCATCCCCCACATAAGCAAAATGAGTCTAGGCTCAGACCAGTGGTTGAAATAATTCCCTGGGAACTGGGGAAGGTCTCCCTGTCCCTGTGGTCAAGGAGTGCTCTGGGTCACTTGGAGTGAGCAGAGCATCCTGGCCATGGCGTATCCCTTGTCCTCACCCAGTGCCCGGTGATTTCCCTGGCAGGCTCCAGCCCCCTCCAAAGGGAAGGAAGAAATCATAGACCTGCACTTCACAATCCAGGGAAATTCCCTGGATGTCTTCAAGAAGAAGGTGATGCTGAGAGCCCTGGAGCCTGGGATCTTCATACAAACAGACAAAGCTGTTTACAAGCCTGGACAGCAAGGTGAGGGGAGCAGGATGGACCTGGTGGGAAAGGGGTGCAGGATGCTCAGTCTTGCTCCTGTTCTGCATGAAAATAGGAGGGTTCATCCTGAGGTGCACTGGGACCCCCAGCACTGGCCCAGGGCAATGCCAGGACACCCTGGCAGTGCTGGAGGCTGTGCTGCTTGGGGCCAGTGCCCCACTGCAGGGCTCGGGGTGGATTTCCATCCATTTCCCCATGGGGAACATCCCCTTCCCCACAGATGCACCCACTGCTCACTCTTGCATCCCCGTTTGCTCTTTCCAGTGAAGCTTCGAATTGTCTCTTTGGATAAAGATTTCACTCCCAGCAATAAGAAGGTGAGAGCAGGGCTGGGGGAGGGGGGAGGCAACAGGGCTCCTCTGCACTGCCCTCTGACAGTCTTGGCAAGCCGTGAGAGAGGTGTAGGAGTCAGCCAGCATCTTTCCTCTTGGGAATCCTGCCCCAGCCAACTGCACTCCCCAGGGGCAGGGATGCCCAGTATTGTTCACGCAGGCTTCAGCAGGCTAAGGAAAGAGAAAGCAGAATTGCACGTGTGACATGGGAATGCACCCGCTTAAACTTTCAGTTAGGGGTGTAGTGATGGCGAGTAGGAAGCAGAGAAAGGGCCATTGATATCCATCAGGTCATCAGACGGCAGGATTACAGGTGAGTTCAGTCTCTGGCACTCCTGAGCAATCACTTGGGTCTTTGGAAGTGCAGGAGGTTCCCAGATTAAATGGCTGCTGGCTGCTTGCAAAGGCACTAGGAGATGCCACCTCTCCATGCCATGCTGGCAGTGTCCTCGGCTCATCCCAGCTAGAGCCATCCACAGGCTCAAAATCATTCCCAAAGCAAATTGAAGAGTTGGAAGCTCACAGCATCCCACAAATAACCATCACGCTACTCCATCCACGGCCCCATATATGTCCTCACCCATGTGAGACCCCAAAGAAGACTCTGAATTTGTCCTCTAACTGTCTTCTCTTTGCCTTGCAGCTGCCTATCGTGTTCCTGAAGGTCAGTCTGAGAGATAGAGGGAGGCTCCTGGGTGGTGTGGGCTTGGGAAGGCAGCGTGGTGGGGAGAAGAGAAGCATAACACAGCCACGGGCTGCTTTATCGCAAGGTGCTGGGGTCCCAAGGGTGCTAGGGTCCCCAGGGTGCTGACCTGCGTGTCCTTGTCCGCAGGATCCCAGCGGGAACCGCATCGCGCAGTGGCAGGAGGTGAGCCCACAGCAGGGCATCGTGGACCTGTCCCTCCCGCTGGCTGCAGAGCCGGCCCTGGGCACGTACACCATCGAGGTGGAGGGGAAGAGACACTCCTTCAGCGTGGAGGAATATGGTACGTGGGGACCAGGAGGTGCACAGGGGATGGGAGACCCACCTTGGCATGTCCTTGTGGGCAGCATGTCTTGGCCCCCCTGGCCACCCAGTCCTGAGAGTGACAACCCTCTCCTTTTGCTTCTCCATCAGTGCTGCCCAAGTTTGAGATGACCATTGATCTCCCTGCTGTGGTGCTGGAGAACGACAAGAAATTCCGGATGAAGATTTGTGGACGGTGAGCCTGAAACAGGCTGTGCCAGGAAGAGGGAGGGGATGTGGGGACCCGATGTGATGTGGCCCATCAGGTACACCCTCACCACACTCCACCCAACAGGTACACCTACGGGAAGCCCGTCCAGGGGAAGGTCCAGGCCAGCTTGTGCCAGCCCTTCAGGTACATCGGGATGCTGTACAGACTTCACGGTGCCCCTGAGAAAGAGATGAACTGCTTCGAGGTTGGCGGGCAGGTGAGCACAGCTGGGGAACGCGGGTGCCGCTGGGACAGCCCCTTCCCAGGACTGCTGCTAAGGGGGTTGACTCTCCCTCCAGACTGAGAAGAACGGCTGCTTTTCAACAGAGGTTTTGTTGTCTGCCTTCAACCTGACCAGCTCCATGTATCAGAAGCAATTCCAAGTCCAGGCATCACTGGTGGAGGATGGGACAGGTACGGACAGCAGTGCTCTCCTGCTTGGGGACAGGCATTACCATGGGTGCATGGTTTTGCACTCATCCCTGTGTGCACCCAAATGCCCGTAGCACGGGGGTATTGGTCTTCTCTGGGGAAGCCCAGAAACAACGCTGTGATTTAGAGGTGCACGTGTGCAGGGACCGGGTCCAGGCAGGGGTGTGAGCCAGGTCAGCCAGGCAATGCTTCTAATTTTGACCAGAGAAATGGTCAGGAGGCAAAAACGCCTTTCCAAGATCCCACAACTCTCCTGATGCTATGGCTAGCAACGAGTCGAGTCCTTGTGACACAAAGCAGTGGCTTCACCTGGTCTGGTGGTGTGGCTTCATCCTTTGAGCTCATCCCTCACGCACCACCTTGGTTCCACCAGAAATGACTGCCAGTGGCTTGGCTTTAGAAAACAAAGAAGACCAGGGGTTATCCCAGGCCCACCAGCACTGAGGTGGCCCTGCGTCGTGGTGCTTTGGCAAAGCACCTTTTGTGAAGTCTCTGCAGTCAGCTGCGCCTTGGCTTTAGGTTTAAAACACACCGCAGAGGTTTTGCTCCTCTTGTAGGAGGTGCAAACTGTGCTCAAAGCTGCCGGCTGCAGAGGGAAAGCCTAAAATGTCCAGGGACCTTTTCTGCACCATGATGGGGGAGCTGGCAGCAGCTAACCTGTGCCCTGTGTCCCCGCAACACCCTCAGCTCCCCGCTCCCTCTCCACAGGGCTGGAACTGAAAAACACCAAAAGCTGCCAAATTTTACCTGAAATCCTCACTGTCACCTTTGAAAACACTGATGATTTCTACAAGCCCGGCATCCCCTACACTGGGACGGTAATGGGGGGGTCCCCGCACGCCGCAGGGCTCCCCTGAACCCTGCTGTGCCAAATCCTGGTCCCACTGTCCCCCAACCCTGCTCTCCCACCCCTGCCCTCTGCCCCACGCCTGCAGCACAACCTCAGGCATCTCCCCTTCCCTCCTGGTGCAGATGCTGCTGAAGAGAGCCAACGGTGCCGTGGTGCCGCAGAAGCAGCTCGTGCTCATCGTTAGCCAGCAAGGAAAAGCTACGAGACAGACCTTCCTGACGGACGGATCAGGGAGAGCCTCCTTCGAGCTGGAGACCTCTGGTTGGAGCGACATGGTCTCCCTGCAGGTTAGTGACCCGTCTCCCACCCCTTGGGGTTCCTTGTGCTGCTTTCCCCAGTAGTACAGGGCTGGGCACCTCTCTGAGCCTGCATCAATGATGCCTGGTGCTGGGACCAGCACCTCATGGGCTGCTGAACGGCTTCACCACCCAGATTTCTACCTCCATCATGCAGGCTGAAGTCAACAAGACAGCTCACACCCAGAATGATGACTCGACATTCATCTACGAAAATGCCTACATATACCTCAGCCCCTTCTTTTCAGCAAGCAGGAGCTTCCTGTGGATCCACCGGCTGGAGAGCGAGCTGCCCTGTGGCCAGCCCCAGCAGCTCTGGGTGCACTACATTTTCAGCAAGGAGGCCTTAGGGACTGAGCCGCAGAGCCTGGATGTGGTCTTCCTGGTGAGCCCCAGCCCAGGGAGGTTAGGGTGGTTGCGTGTGAAGGTCTACATCTACACACAGGTTCATGGTTGTGTCCCTGAGGATGAGACAACCTGTCCTGGCTAGACTGAGAGACCTACGCCTGTTAGTAGAGGTGTCCGCTGGCACTTTTGGATCTGCATACCAATAGGACATGCTGGGGGGGGGCTGGAGACTGGGCAAGGTCAAAAACCACCTCAACACTCTTACCTTTGGGTTCATCCTCCATCAGGAACTCCATGCACACAAAGCATCAGTTTAGTTGTTCCCATCTCCTCCTCTGCAGGTCCTGGCCAAGGGGACCATTGCCAACATCCTCAGGAAAGAGCTGCCTGCAGCGGCTGGGAGGGCCCGAGGCGAGGCTGAGGCATGGACGGGCCGTGCAGGGCTCTGCTCTCCATGCCTGGTCACCATCTCACCTCCTTTCCCATGGCCTAGGGCTGAGCGGCTCCTTCTCCCTGGAGCTGCCCATCGGCCCCGAGCTGGCGCCCACGGCCAAGGTGCTGGGCTACGTAGTGCTGCCCAACGGTGAGATGGTGGCTGACAGCACTGAGCTCCAGGTGGCCAAGTGCTTCCCCAACAAGGTGAGTGGGGGCTGCTGGAGGTGGGGGAGTCGCTCCATGGCTTGTCCATAGCCACATGCCCTGAGGTCCGTCCTGCTCCAGATGTATCACAGTGTTGCAGTCTCTTTAGCCCATGCCCTGATCCCCAAACCCTCGAGCCTGTTTTTATTCTTGCCTAAAAAAGAGCTCCATGTCCATGGCTTGGTGCTGCTCCTCCATGGGAGGTGGTTCCCCCTCCTGCCCTTGCCCCATGACGCCCCTGTCCCTCCCCAGGTGAAGATGGCTTTTTCGGAGGACAGAGCTCTACCTGGCTCGGTGCTGCGGCTGGAGCTGGAGGCTGCCCCGAGGTCCCTGTGTGCCGTCCGTGCTGTGGACCGCAGCGTGCTGCTCTTGAAGTCCGAGGCTGAGCTCAACGCGGAGGCGGTGAGTGGTGGCACTGCCCAGGAGCCCTTCTGCAGCCCCAAGGACCAGCCAGGGATGGGAGGGGAGAGATGGCATTGGCTTGGACCTCTCCTACAGGGATGCTGTGCCATGGTGGCTCCTGGGCAGAGGGTAGGTGTCTGGCTCGTGTTTATTCCCAGGTCTACAAAGTACTCCCTGAATTCGACTACCCTGGAAGCATTCGAGACCCACCACACTGTTCAACATTTTCCTGGGACTATCCCCCCGACTTTGATATCCCTGTCATCCCATTTGTATCGAGACGACGAGAGTTCTTTCGCCCTCTAAGGAGGTATCACTTACCTTCCCCTTTTTGGATGAATCCCCAGATGGACACCTACAAGTTATTTCAGGTAAAGGCTCTACCCGTCTATGCCTCCTGGTTCCTCTTCATCCAGGAACCAGCTGTGGTTTGCTCAGGGTGCTGGGAAAGCAGAGCAACATCCCATGAAAGCCACACTCATAGCAAAGGTCTTTCCCTTTCCTGTGGACCCCAGGCTCTGGTCCTTCTCTGCTTGTTGTCTTCTGCAGCCCTGTGATGATTTAATACTGGGATGGGGATATTCCTCCTGCTGGGTTTCAGAGATGGACTACCTCTTTTCTTTTTCACAGAACGCAGCACTGAAACTTTTCACCAATGCCAAGACCAGCGATGTTTGCAAAGAGAGGTTCAGCTACCGCAGGATGGCGGGTCCCCAAGGTCCCAGAGGTCAGCATGGCCCTCGCTTGCTCGCTCCGCTGAGCCCTCTTGGGAGAAAAGAGCAAAGAGCTGCTGCCCAGTTCTGGCTCCCGTGTCCTCAGGGGGACTCGGAGCCATCCTGAAAATACACTCAGCATCATAGGGATTGAAGAGGATTGATAAGGATCTTGGTCACCTTTGGGCTGTGTGCAGGCGAGGTCCAGTTGAGATGCAGAGACCTGCGTACCCTAATTTCTGCTCTGCCTTTTCCAGGTGGCTTTGATTCCTATGGTGTCACCTATTTGCGGAAAGAAATCGATATCCCAGCAGTAAACCATGCTGTCACAGAAGTAACGGGGCGTGGTATCCCAGTCGTCACTGCCCAGGAAGAGCCACCGGCACCCCGGACGTATTTCCCAGAGACGTGGCTGTGGGACCTGGTCCCCATGGGGTGAGTGAGGATGGTTGCCATGGGGCTGCTCCTCTCCCCACCTCCACTCCTGCATGCAGGGAGGTTGGGGACCTCAGGATGGCTCCTTCTCCCATAAGGAGAGAGCCAGCCCAGCTGGGGATGACAGCGGCTGTGGGTGACCGTGGTGGGATGCCCTCATGATGGCCCCCCATCCTGCAGGGACGGGGGCTCTGCGGAGGTGGCAGTGACAGTCCCTGATGCCATCACCGAGTGGGAAGCCGGGATGTTCTGCACATCCCCGTTGGGTTTGGGGCTGGCCCCTGCCACCACCCTCACGGCCTTCAAGCCCTTCTTCGTGGAGCTGGCGCTGCCCTACGCCGTGGTCCGGCACGAAGCCTTCACCCTCGTGGCAACCGTGTTCAACTACCTGCGGCAGTGCCTGCGGGTGAGCGGGGCTGGGGAGGGGGCCCTGGGTCTGGGGTCTGGGGCAGGATGATGGAGCTGTGGCCGTGGTCTGGCAGGTTCAGGTGACTCTGGCGGAGTCGGCGGAGCTGGAGGTGTCAGCGAGTGCAGACAAGGTGTACAGTAGTTGCATCTGTGCAGACGAAGCGAGGACATTCCGATGGGGCATGCGAGCCACCAGCCTGGGTATGGGACACCAGCACTGTGGCGGGACCCCCCTGCCCTGTTGCTTGGGGACCCTCTCGGAGGATAGGGTGGGCAGGGAGGACGGCAGCAAATACAGTGCCACGTGGGAAGCTCTCCTCTGCTCCACTCACCCTCCCCTTTGCCTCCCAGCCCTGCTCCTCAACTTGGTGACCCCCATCCCAATCCAGCCAGCCCCACACAAAGCCCCAGGGCTGATGCAAGCCCATGGGACTGCAACATGGGCTGGGGGGGCTCTGTGGGGACTGAGTACCTCGCTTGCATCTGCAGGGGAGGTGAACATCACTGTCAGCACCGAGGCCCTCAGCTCCAAGGAGCTCTGTGGCAACGAGATGCCCGTGGTGCCAGCCCAGGGGCGTGTGGACACCGTGATAAAGCCCTTGCTGGTGCAGGTCAGATGGGTTATGGAGGAAGAAAGTGGGATGGGTCTGGGGACAGGGTCTGAGCAGCCCTCGGGGGGCAGAGGGACAGCACCCAGCCCCAAGCCCGGGCTGCAGGCATGACCCAGGGGGACAGGGCTGGTCCCCTCTCCTGACCGACTCTCATGGTGCTTCCCCACAGCCTGGTGGGATCCTGGTGGAGAAGGCACACAACTCCCTGCTCTGCCAGGAAGGTAGGACCAGCTGGGGGTGTCCGGCAGTGCCACAGGGATGTGAGGCAGGGACACTTGGCCACTGGTCATGAGAGCCACCAGGCCAGAGGAGTTGAGGACCAGGGTCTGATGAGGCTCCTGGCTGAGACACCCCAACACAGCCTTGAGCCCATGGAGGGTCAGAGCAGGAAGGGGTGGACAAGGGTACCATGGAGCCAGGCCAGGAGGAGCTGGGCATTTCCACTGTTGTTGCCTTCCATCCCACAGTCACTGAAGAAATCTCCCTGGAGGTTCCTGCAAACATCTTGGAGGGCTCCCAGCGAGCCCATGTCACTGTGATGGGTAAGAGACAGGCAGGGCACAGGGGACCACCTGCGGCAGGGATGGTGCAGAGCTCCATGGTCCAAGCACAGCAGAGATGGGACCACCTGGAGCGGAGATGGGATACAGGGGACACAGCTGATGATGGTGCTCCTCATGTCCCCCTGGGACAGGTGACATCATGGGCAATGCTCTGCAGAACCTGGACCGCCTCCTGGCCATGCCCTATGGCTGTGGGGAGCAGAACATGGTCCGCTTCGCCCCTAACATCTACATCCAGCAGTACCTGGAGAAGAGTGGGCAGCTGCACCCCGACATCCGTGCCAAGGCACAGGGCTTCCTGCAGAGCGGTGAGTGTCCCCTCCTCTCCCCATCCCACCCTGCCTTGCTGCTGAGGGACACCACCGCCCTGTATCCCCCCTCCCCGTTTTCTGCCTGGGCTCCAGGCTGCCTCTGGGGTCCCCTGGGGGTGTAAAGACCGCCATGTAAAGACTCATCTCCATCTCCTCCCCACAGGGTACCAGCGAGAGCTGCTCTACAAACACAACGACGGCTCTTACAGCGCCTTTGGGAAGAGCGATCCTGAGGGCAACACCTGGTGAGGGACCACACAGGGCTCGGGCAGGCTCTGCAGTGGCATCCCACGGGGGACCGGCTGTGCCGGGTCTCTTCCTGCCACCAAGCGTACCCCAGCCCCGGTCTCCCATCCCTCCGACATCTCTCTGGCTCATAGGCTGACGGCGTTTGTCCTCAAGTCCTTTGGGCAAGCCAGAGCCTACGTGGCCATCGAGGAGCGGCACATCACGGACGCGCTGCACTGGCTGCAGAAGCAGCAGCGGAAGACGGGCTGCTTCCGCAGCGTGGGGAAGCTCTTCAACAATGCCCTGCAGGTGGGTTGGTGGGGTGGGACATGGGGACATGTGGCCAGAGCTGGGTTGGCCCCAGAACATCCTTGGTGTGTGGTCTAGGCAGTGGGGGAGTATCTGTGCCGGTGGCACGGCATGGCTGGACCCATGTCCTGCTGTCCCCTTTGCAGGGAGGGGTCTCCGAAGAGCTTATGTCACGGCTGCGATGCTGGAGCTGGGGCTGTCCCCAACGGTGAGGATGACGCCATTTTCCTTGGAGGGACTGGTGGGCTGGGGCTGGGTGCTGGGGCAGGGAGTCTGGCTGTGCCAGGCCACCTTCTAGCCAGACTTGGGGGCAACTGGTCTCACTGGGCAGAACTGGGGTCTCTGAGTGATGCCCACGCCCGTGGGCTGGCTCCTGACTCCGGTCCCGTGCCAGGACCCCAAGGTGAGCTCAGCCCTGCAGTGCCTGGAGGCTTCGAACACGGATGACCCCTACACACAGGCGTTGCTCGCCTACGTCTTCGGGCTGGCGGGGCGCAGGGAGCAGCAGCAAACCCAGCTGCAGAGCCTGGCCCAGCACAGCGTCAGCCCAGGTACCACCCATTGCGGGCAGTGCCACTCCCAGGCAGTGCCCCCCTCTGCCTGGGTCACCCAATCCCACCCCCAGCCACCCGGGACCCCCGGAGCAGGAGGGCTGAGCTCCCACCCTCTCCTCTCCCAGAGGGGCAGCTCTACGGGCAGAGGAAGGGGAAGACTCTGCCCCCCTCGCAGCCGTCCTGGGCTGCAGCTGCGCCGGCGGAGGTGGAGATGACCGCCTACGTCCTCCTGGCCTACCTCTCCCAGCCCCAAGTGTCCTCTGCCGACGTGGGGACCGCTTCCCGAATCGTCCGCTGGCTCAGCAAACAGCAAAACCCCTACGGGGGCTTTGCCTCCACACAGGTACAAGCACTGGGGTCCATGGGGCTGCTCCAAGCATCCCCCACCCGTGTCTGCAATTAGGGGTGACCTTGGCTCGGTGCTTTCTCCATGCCCAGGACACCGTGGTGGCCCTGCAAGCCCTGGCCAAGTACGCCGCCCTGACGTACAGCAGCAACGGGGACTTCACGGTGACGGTGACGTCCCCAACAGGCACCACGCAGGACTTTGTGCTGGACAACAGCAACCGGCTGGTGCTACAGCGGGCAGCTCTGCACGAGCTGCCGGGGACGTACAGGGTGCAAGCCCGCGGGCAGGGCTGTGCCCTGGTGCAGGTGGGTACGGACCGGGGTCTCCATCCCCGTGTGGTGCCCGCTCCATGGCTCTAACCCTCCTGCGTCACCCCAGGTGACCCTGCGCTATAACGTGCCCCCCCCTCCAAGCACGGGGATGTTCGACCTTCACGTGGAGACGGAGCCCGGGAAGTGCACGGGGGACGCCAGCGCCCGCTTCCGCCTTCTGCTCCG